ATAAAGGTTTTTGAAAGGGGGGGGGAGTGGGGAGGGAGAGGGGAGGGAAGAGGGGAGGGAGGGAAATGGGGAGGGCGGGAGGGAGGGGAGGGGATGGGAGGGAAGGGACAGAAGGGGAGGGGGAGGGGTGGGAGGAGGAGGTAGGAGAGAGGAAGGGGATGAGGAGGGAGGGAGAGGAGAAGAGGAGGGAAGGGAGAGGAGGGGAAGGAGGGGAGGGGAGAAGGAGGGAGAGGGGAGAAAGGGAGGGGTATAGGAGGAAAGGGAGGGAGTGGGAAGGTAGTGGGGAAAGGGGGAAAGGAGGTTGAGAAACTTCATAATGTTCTCAAAAGGCTCGGATAACGGGTCTGTACAAGGGGGAGAAGGGCGAGGAGGGGAGAAATGGAAGAGGGAGGGGAGAGTAGTGGAAAGGGAGAAGGAAGGGGAGACAAGAAGGGAGAACAGGAAGGGAGAGAGGGAGGAAGTGATAAAGATAGGGCAGTAAAGAGGAGAGAGGGGGAAAGGGGAGAGGGTAGGGGAAAAGGAGGAGAGGAGGGGAGGAAAGGAGAGAGCATCGGGTAAAAGAAGGGGGGGATGGGGAGACAGGGAGAATAGGGAGAGTGGATGGACATTAGGACAAGGATTATCGGATAGGGATAGGGTGGGGAGTGGGGGCGGGAGGGAAGGGAATAGAGGGAGAGAGACGGACTAAAAGAGACATTTGGGAACTTGACCTCTCCGTAAATTTAATGTTATGGAAACGACGGGACCAGTTTGTCGCTCGCTCTCCCTTCTCCCTCTCCCTTGACCTCTGCTCTCTCTCTCTCTCTCTTCCGGGATGGCTTTTTTATCGTTATTTCATTTTTTTTTCTGTCTGTGTGTGTGTCTGTCTGTCTTTCCCTCCCTCATTACCTCTATCTTTCTCTCTCCTCTTCCTCCTTCCTTTTCTTCTATCCTTCTTAACCAGTCTCTCTTCTTATCTCCCACTCCCTCTTCCCTTTCCTTCTTTCCCTCTTCCTCTTTTCCTCCCCCTCTCTCTCTCCCACTTCTCTCTTTCCGTTCCTCACTCTCCCTCTTTCCTTTCCTCCCTCTCCCTTTTTCCTACTCTCCCTCTTTCCTTCCCTCCTTCCCTCCTTCTCCCTCTCACCCTTTCTCCATCATTGACTCTCCTTCCCTTCCTCTCCCTCTTCCCCCTTCCTTCCTTCCATCCCTCTCTCCTTCTCTCCCTCTTCAGAGTAATACATTTTCGTAAATTATCAACGACCTGATACAACCATTAATGAGACTGCAATTATGGGGAGTTTCGAAACATGAAAATCATCGTTAGGTCTATATTCTCGAAGTAATTAAACGGGGAAGCGGTCTTACTGCGTCCAATAAATGCCTTTGTGATTAATCTGCCGTATGCTTAACAAGATATTGCAAATAACCTCCGATTTTTTTGTTGTGAATTAATTAATTTCCTCTTTCTTTCCTCGTTTCTTTTTCGTTTATCAGGTGTCTTCCTTATTCTTTTCCTGCTGTTTTATCGTTTTTAGATATGTTATCCCTTGCTTTCCCCCTTCTTCATTTCGGGTTTAATTGCTCTCTGTCTCTCTTTTTCTCTCTTCTGTTAATCCCTTCCTTTGTTTGTCTCTGTCTCTGTAAATGTCCGTTTTCGTCGCTATTTCTCTTTCTTAATATTATTGCTATTGTTATTTTGCAACTGTGATTACTACTGTTTAGCGTTACTATTATTTTTTATTGTTTTTGTTGTTAATGTTCACAACCACAGCATCAGTAATAGCATCACCAGCCCCTCTTCCTCACCCCTTTCCCCTTCTCCAACCCCACACTCACCCCGACCCCACTCTGACTCCCTCCCCCTCTCCCAACCCCCCTATGACCCCCTCCTCTCCCTCCCCAACCCCACTCTGCTGACCCCCTCCACCCTTCACCCAACCCCACACTCACCCCCTCCCTTTTCCCAACCTCCCCCTCCCCTCCCTCTCCAACCCCACCCTCACCCCCCCTTCTCCCCACCCCTCTCCCTCTCCCAACCCCACACTCCCCCTCCCCCTCTCACCCCAACCCCACTCTCCCCCCCTCCCCTCCCCCTCCCTCTCCCAACCCCACACTCCCCTCCCCCCTCTCACCCCAAACCCCCCACTCACCCCTCCCCTCCCCGCAGGCCTCCAGACCTGCGAGTGGTACCCGCCGTGGCTGTGGATCCTGTGCATCGTGCTGGCGGTTCTCTTCATCATCATGATGATCATCAACATCTTCCTGTGTTCGGCCATGACCTGCTCCTGCACCAAGACGGAGGTCATCGAGAAGGAGCCGTCCATCATCGAGGAGTATGACCCCTACAGGTCGTGGCACGGCTCGCAGTACGGATCGAGGTCAGTGGCCAGTCTTTTATTGGTTTTAACAGCTTTTTGTTATTATTATTATTATTATTATTATTATTATTATTATTATTATTTGCACGGGTCGTAGTGCAGGAATCTCCCTTGCCGTTTTTTGTTTTCGTTTTGATAGTAGT